GGTTCCTGCGGCTCTCTGCGGATGTGGGCCGGGATGCGGCTCTCCGGGACCGCCGGGGGAGGGGGGGTCGGGGCTGCCCGTGGCACTCTGAGCATCCCCCCGGCACCGCTCCGTGACCACCGGCACAACTCCGAGCCCCCCGCGGGGGGCCCGCCCCATAAGGGGGGGGTTCTGGGAGTCTCTGGGGAGCGCGGCTGTGTTTATGTGTCCCCCCCACCCGGGACAGCTCCGTGTCCTCCCGGGATGGGATTCGCACCCCGCTCCGTGTCCCCCCAAGCACCGATGACACCCCCAGCATCTGGTCCCGCACCCCCGCGTCACCCCGCACCCCGGGAAGGTGCTTTTGTCCGCCTCCAGCCAGGCCCGTGTCCCCCAAGCCCAGCTCCGCGTCCCCACAGCGCGACAGGGGGGTGGCGCAGCTCGCAGCCTTTGTGTCGCTGTCCCCGCGTTGGGATCCCCCCGCGTGGCTCTGGTCCAGGTGACATCCGCTGGCTGCGGTCCCCGCGGCGGGGCGGGTGGCAGGGCCCGCTGTGCCACCGAGCGGGACTCCTGCCTGCGGGTGGGTGACCCACTTTGTGTCCCCCCCCGGGACGCGCGGGCTCCGCTCGGTGGCGGGGCAGTGGCGGTCCCCAGCTCGCCGCAGCTCCGGTGACCTTAGCCCGGGAGCCAAGGTGAGCGGCACGGCCGGGGACAAACGGGGACAAGCGGGGGCACCCGGCGGCGCGCCGGGRGCTGGCACACCGCGCTCCAGCCCCGCCGACCCCTCAGAGCCGCTCCGGTGGTGGCGCCGCGTGCCGGAAGGGGCTGCGGGGACAGCGGGGTAAGGGGGGCGCGCAGTTGGAGTGGGGTGAGGGTGGTGGTCACCCCCCAAGCCCAGTCAGCTTGGGGACGCTGGAGACCCCTCTTTTTCCATGACCTTGAGCAGGAAACGCCCCGTCACCTCGGATTTGAGGTTCCGGGGTGGGCACTGCCCCGGTGGCGCACGCGGGTGGCAGTGTCGCCGGTGTCCGCGCTCGCGGCTGGGCCCCGCAGCCGCCACCCGCGCCGGGTGCCACCGCTGCCGGCAGGACATAAATAATTCAGGGTGGGTGAGCTCAGCCCGCCGGYGTCACCCAGCTCCAGCTGCCCGGCCCGAGCGGCACTGGGAGGCCACCGCCGCCAGCGCCCTGTGCCCACCGGGCTCCCTGGTAGCCCTGCAGCCTGATAGCCCAATGCTCCGGCACCCTGTCACCCTGTCACCCTGTCACCCTGTTACCCTGTCACCCCGACTCCTGGCTACCCCTGCACCCTGATACCCTAATACCTGGCACCCCTGCACCCCAACACTGTAACACCCTGGTACCCCTCCACCCTGATACCCCGACATTCCAACAGCCTGGCACCACAAACGCCTCATCACCCTGATACCTTGGCACCCCAACACTCGAGCACCGCTAGACCTCGAGCACCCCGGCACCCCAACACCCCACATCCCGGCACCCCAACACCCCACATCCCGGCACCCCAACACCCCCACATCCCGGCACCCATTACCCTGGCAGCGCGGGGCAGGACACAGCCGTACCCAGGCTTCCGAGACAGTGCCACTGCGGGGGTGGCAGCCTGGCAGCCTGGCATTGTCCCCAGCTGCCACCCACAGTTCGGGGACAGCGGAGCCTTTCAGAACYCGTCGCGGATGAGTTTATGGGGTGTCAGCAGAGATCCCGGGGCCCGCCCGGGTGCRTTCCCTGGGATGAGCAGTTCGGCATTTCCTGTTTTCCCGGGCGGTTTCCGGCACCCCGAGCCCTTCCCAGCCCTGGGGACACCTGGAGAGGCCGCGACAGCCCGTGGGAACCGCGGCTGAGGAGGGGTCACTGAGGCAGGAGGGGACACTGGGGCAGGACAGTGACAAACGGGGTCCCAAAGCCATCGAGGACTCCCATCTGCCCTCCTCGCCAGCCTCGGGAGGATTTTTTTGGGATGTTCCCGGTCCCCACTCGCCCCCGGAAGCGCTTTGGGGACACTGGGCACGGGGACAGCACGTCCCAGCTGTGCGGCCACCCCAGAGCGGGACAGCGGCCGTGTCCCCGCGGTGCCACCCGCCCGGGGGGTGCTCTGGAGACTGTCCCCATCGCACCTCGGCGCGGCGGCGCGGGGCCTCGCCGGGTTTCCATGGAGACCGGCTGCTTTTTCCCTATCCCCATCTTTCCTGCGGTTTTCCATCGCTCGGAGCCGCGGCSCTGCCGGAGCCCGGCCCCGCCGAGGGGCAGCGCGAGGAGGTGAGTGGGTTTGGGGGGCTCTGAGGGGAYACCCGCGACCCCCGGGGCTGCCAGGACGCGCCGGCAGCTCCTCCTCGCAGCTGTCGGGGCTGTCGTTTTTTTGGTATCTGCAGGAGGAGAAATTCGATCCCAGGGCGGTGTCGCCGCCAGCGGGGCCGTGACCCGTGTCATAGCTGGGCTGGGGACAGCCGGGGACGTGCCCCGCACCCATCGCGGGGCTCCCGAGCGGTTTGGGATCCGCTTCCCGGGCATTTTTGACTCCTTCCCGACCTCCCCCCGACAGATAAACTCTTCGGGAAGCGGCTGCTCCAGGCCGGGCGCTACATCATGTCCCACAAGGCCTGGATGAAAACGGTGCCCACCGAGAACTGCGATGTGCTCATGACATTCCCTGGTAGGGATGTGCCCAGGGAAACCAGGATTGGGATCGATGTGCCCAGGGTGGGACAGCTGAGGCAGGAGGGGATGGG